AGCCATCGGCTGTTTAGGTTTTACTTGTTCTGTTCCTTCCCAAAGTTTCACTTATGAGGTTCCCAAGGATATTGGTCTTGCTCCTTCTCCCCATCCGGTTCCTTCCCTGTGTAAACATCTCTCTTCCTCCGGTACTGGCACTGGCGCAGCTCTCAGTGAGGTGGGATACACAGAGGTAAACAAGGCGCAGGCCCTGCCCTCACATCCCTAGTCAGAGCCACTCGTGAGAAGCATGAAGGTTGTTCATTGTACAGGGCACCTGGAATCAACTGGGAATTAAACTCAGCTGCACTCGGCCTGCCCAGCCAGACACCCTGAGCTGGGCTGTGTCCACCTGGAGAGAGGGGTGCCTTTTCTTTTTTTGTAAAAAGGCCCCATATGGGCTAGAAGCTGCCCTTATTAGTATAAAGGAGGCCTGGTGCACGGAATTTGTGCACAAGTAGGGTCCCTAGGCCTGGTGGGCGATCAGGGCCAATCGGGGCCTTCCTTCTGGCTGCCGGCTGGGGCTTTACTTCATTCAGTGCCACCCCCTGTGGACAGCACATATCATAGCGAGTGATAGAACCCCCAGTTGAACTCCCGTGGGGACACTTTGCATATTAGCCTTTTATATATATAGATAGTTGTTACTTACTAGACCACAGGCATATTAATGTCCTAGACATCCAATTAGAAGCCTGCACACCCAGGTTTGCTCCTTAATATTCAGGACCTTCTTTCTGAGCCTCAGTTTTCTCTTCTGTATAATGAGGGTGTTGAATTCAAAGATCTGTGGGAGCCCTTTCACTGTGGACACTCTATTAATTGTCAAATCTAACTGAAGTGATTCCACTCATCTACCCATCCCATCCATCCATCCACGCATCATAAGAATATGGGCATCCAGGGGGACCGATGGGGGTCACCATTGTAGGGAAGAGATGTCACCCGGTGAGACCTTTCCCAGCAAAGTTGACTCTCAAGATCTCTGAGGACACATGCCTGCTTTTGACGAAGGTCCTTTCCCTCCTGCCTGAAAGTCAAGGTATTTACATGTCTCACTCCAGAGAGCAGCCATCATGTCATTATAGATGCAATCAATGCGACCATCCCACAGGCAGCCAAGCAGCGCGGAGAGACTGCAGGGTGCGTGGGCTGATCCGCCCGCTACCACGACATGAAATATGAGCACCGTAAAGACTAATGAACTTCTCTCTCACAGCCCCGGACCCCGGGAGGGATGATGGGTGTTTTTACAGTCAAAGCACCTGGAGCCCAAATAGAAGGCAACAGACAATTATAAGCATTGGATCAAATTGACCTTGGGAGCCTGGGGAGGGCGTAGAGCATGGCCAAGCATTCCAGCAGGAGGGCGTGGGTGGTGTGCTGGCGTGGGGGAGAGGCCTGCTGGGGAAGTCATTTTTCTGGGGGCCCCTCCCTGGCACCTGAGCAGGCAGCCTGAGACTTTTTGCTCCTTTGGAACCGCTTTCTTTCATCTGCCTGATTTCTTTTATCTGCTAGACCCAGCCTTCTGCCAAAGAGTGTTTGCAATGGCTAGCAACAACGATACTAGCAGTCCCCTTAGAATGCGCTGGAAAGCTTTTTAAAAACCTTACTATAGGCAGTCACCATTCGTTCATGCATTCATTTATTCACTCATTGGTCTACTTGCTGAGATAACAACTCACCCGGTCACACCCGGCACCGTGCTGGGCCCTCAGTTTGATTCACAGGGTCCTTGTCATTTAGGAGTTTACAAGGTGGTTGAGGATCAAGATGTATATTAGGGAACTGGGGAAACCAGGCATCCTGGTGTAGGGACTTTGGGAGGGCGAAGAGGGAAAAGGCCAGGCTTGGCCCTAGCCAGTTTGGCTCAGTGGATAGAGCTTCGGCCTGCGTTCCGGGTTCGATTCCAGTCAAGGGCACATGCCCGGTTGTGGGCTTGACCCCCAGTAGGGGGCGTGCAGGAGGCAGCCAATCAATGATTCTCTCTCATCATTGATATTTCTATCTCTCTCTCCCTCTCCCTTCTTCTCTGAAATCAATAAAAATATATATATTTTTAAAAAGACCTGGCTTGGAGTCCCCCTTCTGCTGCTTCTGACTTAGGTGGCCTCAGCTGTAAGGAAAGGGGAAGGCGGGGTAGCTCCATGGCTCCTCTCCCTGGGGCTTTCCTCACTCCTCAACCAGCCGAAGCAGAGAGTCTTGGTAGGATGCACAGGAATCAAGAAGGAAAATGTTGAAAGTTTAGTTAGTTTTGCGCAGCGTTTCCACAGTTCTGGTAAGAACTAAATTTATTTGTTTTGTTTTTTAATCTTTACCCGAGGATATTTTTCCATTGATTTTTTTAGGGAGAGTGGAAGAGAGAGGGAAAGACAGAGAGAAACATCGATATGAGAGAAACACGTCGATTGGTTGCCTCCTGCACAAGCCCTGACCAGGGCCTGGGCTGGGGATGTGCCCGCAACCAAAGTACATGCCCTTGACCAGAATGGAACCTGGGACCCTTTGGTCCGCAGGCCGACGACACCCTACCCACTAAGCCAACTGGCAAGGGCTCTTATATTTGCATTTAAAAGTGCCATAGGATAACATAAAGATGAGTGGCAAAATTCATGCTAATAATGAGAAATTTTAATTTTTCTTAGATGGACAGTAAATAACTTAAAAAACATCACATCAAGACACTTCACAAGAAAGGAACGAGCTATATTTTAGTACTTTTAGTGGCATTTTCCCCTGCTTTTCTGACCAAGGAACAGATTTTCATTTTGCCCTGTACCCAGCAGATTACATAGCTGGCTCTGGGTGGACGACACCGTCAGTTCTGGCAGGTGGGCAGAGGGCAGGCTGGGCTCAGAAGACCTCTAGGTAGTGGGATTTGATAGCAAGAATTCCTGGAGTTATAGTCCCTGGCCTATGATGCATTGGTGTCTTGGCTTTATTTGTATTGATTTCTGTCCCCAGCCGGCAGCTCGCTTCTTCCCTCCAAAATGAGTGCTTTCTGCAGCACCAGCAGTATGCCTGCTGCTACAGACTCTCTGATCAAAACGAGCAATTTAGGGCTTATTACATCTCATCCCCGCCCTCCCTCCCACACACCTCACCTCGGTTCTTAAATTCTCTGCGCATAAGCTTTCGCTGCCTCCCCAGCTGAGGGCAGTCTCCCCCTCCCATTCACTCCCCTGCCCTGCCCCTCCCGCTGTGCATCCATTTCCCAGGTGAGCGGGGATGGATGCTCCATCCTAGGGTCAGTGGCTGACTTCTTTGTGCTCCCAGCTTACAGCTCGCTGACGCCTCATCACTCAGTTTGGATTGGAAATAGATTCTATGTTTTTCAACCATTCTTCTGTTTTCCCTGACTTTTTATCGTCTCACCCTGGTCATTGGGGGGTTTCAGCAGCCCAATGCAATTATTCAAAATGAGAGTTTCATTCTTTTTGCACAATAGTCTCTTCTAGAACTTTCTGAGATTTCTAATAGGATTGGATTCATTTCCTGAGGTCAGTATTTCATTCATTCCAATCTTCATCATCATCATTTATATAATAAAAGCCTAAGTGACCATTAGGGCAGAAAGACCAGAACGACCAGTCACTATGATGCTCACTGACCACCAGGGAGCAGACTCTCAAAGCAGGAGCTGGCCCTGGTGGTCAGTACGCTCCCACAGGGGGAGTGCTGCTCAGCCAGAAGCTGGGCTCATGGCTGGCGAGTACAGCAGCAGTGGCGGGAGCCTCTCCCACCTCCATGGCAGCACTAAGGAGCAGCAAGCCAAGTGGTAAGGAGCAGCAAGCAGGCAGGCGGTAAGGAGTGAGGGGTCCCAGACTGTGAGAGGGATGTCTGACTGCTGGAGCAGGCCTAAGCTGGCAGTCGGACATCCCTCTCACAGTCTGGGACCCCTCAGGGGATGGAGAGCAGGCCTAAGCCAGCAGGCAGAGCTGAGGGACTGCCCCCCTCTCCCCAGTGCACGAATTTCATGCACCAGGCCTCTAGTATTTTCATAACAGCTTAAGGCTGGATTTTCTTTTCTTGAACTTAGTAGTGCACTGGCATATCTTCACTTTTTAAAAATTATCTTTATTAGGGCTTCTGTCCCCTCTGGAAGTTTTATAAAATTACTAGTGAAAATGTGTAACTTTACCATGGAGTTCCAGGTTTCCAACAAATTTTTAAATTTTTTAAAACTTTTAATATATTATTGATTTCAGAGAGGAAAGGAGAGGGAGAGAGAGCTAGAAATATCAATGATAAGAGAGAATCGTTGATCAGCTGCCTCCTGCACGCCCCATACTGAGGATCGAGCCAGAAACCTGAGCATGTGCCCTAATGGGAATTGAACTGTGACCTCCTGATTCATAGGTGAGCACTCAACCAGTGAGTCACGCCAGCCAGGAATGACACATTTTTTATATTCTGCTCTTTCTCAGTCCCCAAATAGCAAGCACATTTCCTATGCATTTAAGTCATTTATTTGAGTCACCTGATCATATCTTTTTTGTTTGTTTGTTAGTCCTCACCCAAGGATAGTCATTCCATTGATTTTAGAGAGTGTGGAAGGGAGGAGGAGAGACACACAGAGAGAAACATTGAAGTGAGAGAGACACATTGATTGGTTGCCTCCCACATGCACCTTGACCAGTGATCTAGCCTGCAACAAAGATATGTGCCCTTGACTGGAATCAAACCCATGACCCGTCAGTCCGAGGGCTGATGCTCTAACCACTGATCAAAACAACCAGGGCTGATCAGATATTTAAGCCCAAATACTTACCAAGCTACATGGTTTTGGGGTCTTGCTTTCTCTAAAAAATAAAAATAATCTTTGCTGTTTTGATATTCTGTTTTTTTTTGTTTTTTATTTTTATTTTTTATTGATTTCACAGAGGAAGAGAGAGAGAGAGAGATAGGAACATCAATAATAAGAGAGTATCATTGATTGGCTGCCTCCTGCACACCCCCAACCGGGGACTGAGCCAGAAACCTGGGCATGTGCCCTGACTGGGAATCAAACCATGATCTTCTGGTTCATCGATCGATGCTGAGCCACACCGGCAGGGTTGATATTCTGTTTTTAATTGGGTAACTTTTTATTTCGGAAGTCTTACACCTACAGAAAAATTGAGAGATTAGTGTAATGAATATCCCATATACTGTTCACCAAGATTCATTAATTGTTAACATTTTTGCCATATTTTCTTCGTCTGTGATGTATACTTTTTTGCTGAATAATTTGGAAGCAAATCACAGATGTAACACTCCATCCCTAAATATTTCAGCATAATTCTTCAATGAATAAGGACATTTTCTGACATTACTGTAATACTACATCTCAGAAAAATTAACAATAATTCCAAAACCTAAAATACAACCCAATTAAAATTTCCTTATTTGTCCCAAAATAAATCCTCACCCAAGGACATTTTTTCCATTGATTTTTTAGAGAGAGAGTGGAAGGGAGGAGGAGGAGAAGGAAGAAGAGGAGAAGGAGGAGGAAGAAGGGGAGGAGAAGGAGGAGGAGGAGGAGGAGGAGGAGGAGGAGGAGGAGGAGGAGGAGGAAGAGGAGAGAAACATCAATGTGAGAGCAACACATGGATTGGTTGCCCTGACCGGGGTGGGGGATGGAACCTGAGACCCACATACATGCCCTTGAGTGGGAATCAAACCTGAGACCCTTCAGTGCACAGGCCAATGCTCTAACCACTTAGCATACCAGCCAGGGTGAATCTGACAACTTTTTAATCATTTTTATAAATTCTGCTAAGATCATTTTAACTACTGAGCAAGTTGTTATTCGATCACTTGGTATCTTCAACTCTATGGGGAGGAGCATTCTCCCTGGCCCCCTCCAAAGAAACTGGCACATGCACCACTCTCAAGAAGGCAGTAAAAATTCCATATTCAGGCTCTTTATAAAAATCCCGCCCAGCCCTGGCCAGGTGCTCAGTGGTTAGAGCATCTGCCTGCAGACCGAAGGGTCAAAGGTTTGATTCCTGTTCAAGGACACATACCTTGGTTGCAGGTTCCCCAGCCCAGTAGGGGGCTTGTGGGAGGCAACCAATCGATGTGTCTCTCTCATGTCAATGTTTCTATCTCTTTCTCCCCTCTTCCTCCCTCCCTTCCACTCTCTCTAGAAATCAATGGAAGAAATATCCTCAGGTGAGGATTAAAAAAAAAAAAAATCCAGCCCAGCCTAAATTGCTTAGGCAGAGTGGCCAGCAGCATCTCAGCATATCAGTTTAGGAATTCTGAATCGCCACTGCTGTCAGACATGGTTGCTTTCCTGAGTTCATTTCTTGGCCGTATTCTGAGACACTGATGCTTCCAGGCTGTTGTACAATCAAGTTCTCAGACTCCTCCAACATATTTAAATCCTTTCCAGGCATTTTCATTCTAACAACAGCCTTTTCTCCACCGGGCAGTGCCCCTCGTGTAATTCCTTGTTATCTTCCATTCTGAGTGTCATTTGGGTTGAAGTTGATCTTCCAATAGTTTCTTCAGAAAGACTTCAAAGAACAATCTTTCCTAAATTCTTGCATGTTCAAAAATGTTCAAGGTTAGCCCTGGCCAGTGTGGCTCATTTGGCTGGGTGCACTGAGGGGTGGCTGGTTCAATTCCCAGTAGAAGCACATTTCAGGGTTACGGGCTCGATCCCCAGTAGGGGGCGTGCAGGAGGCAGCCGATATCATCTCTCTTGCCCAGCGGTTCTCAACCTGTGGGTTGTGACCCCTTTGGCGGTTGAACGACCCTTTCACAGGGGTCGCCTAAGACCATCCTGCATATCAGATATTTATATTATGATTCATAACAGTAGCAACATTACAGTTATGAAGTAGCAACGAAAATAATTTTATGGTTGGGGGTCACCACAACATGAGGAACTGTTTTAAAGGGCAAGAAGGTGGAGAACCACTGCTGCCCTTCCTCTTTCTCTCAAATCAATAAAAACATATTTTTAAAAAATGTTCAGGTTTATATTTCTGAAGTAAGACTCGGTACAGAGAGGTTAGGTCACACTCTTCCTTGGGGAATTTCCAGGATTTGCTCCGGGCTTCGAGCATTGAGGGTGGACTCCAAGGGGCCAGAAGCCAGCAGGTCACAGAAGGGTCTTTATCGCTGAGGTCCAGGAATTTTGCAAGGAAGTGTTTTGGTGATGAGAATCTTTGTTAGATTTTTGTGGAATCAGCTATTCCTTTTCAATAGCTGCATCTTTAATTTTTTTTCTATTACATGGTTTCCGGTGTTTTCTTCAGGCCACTGTGTGTGTGTGTGTGTGTGTGTGTGTGTGTGTGTGTGTATGTGCGCGCGGGCGCGCGCACGCATTGCATTTCCTCGGCTTTTTTCTTTCTTTCTTTTTTTTTTTTTTGGTCTTTTATTGTTTTTTTGTAGTGTCTTTGTACTTTTATCATGGTATAATTATATACAAGAAACTGTACATATTTAGTGTACCATCTGACAGATAAGTTTTAACATATGTACACACCCATGAAACCACTGCCACGATCAAATAGTGAACATACTCACCCCTCAGAAAAGTTTCCCTGTGCCCTTTGTAATCCCTCCCCAGGCCCTTTCCTGCCCCTCGCCCACCCCATGCACCACTGATGTGCCTTATGTCACTTTCGATTTATTTGTGTTTCCTAAAATTTTATATAAATAGTACCAAACAGAACAAACTCTTTTTCTCAGCATAGTTATGGAAAGTCGTCCATGTTGTCGCATGTATCAGTAGGAGAGGTGAGAGCAGACAGCCTTGCCTTGTTCCTGATCTTATACGGGAATTTTTCACCGAGGAATTGTCTTCAGGCGATTCCCTTCCCTCCCCCCACCCCCTGTCTGCTCAGTCAGTAGTTTCCTCATCGGCCTCAGAGGGCCCTCTGCAGATCTCGGGAGCTCTCTGGATATCTCTCTCTCTCTCTCTCTCTCTCTCTCTCTCTCTCTCTCTCTCCCCAACCCCGACCCTTTGTTCTCTATATTATTCCGTGACAACTCTAGTCCCCTTAACCTTCAGGTCTTCTGGTTCCTTCTACTGAACTGAGAGCTCACCGGGCTCTGACTGGGTTTCCTTCTCTGTGCTGTGACCTCAAAACTCTCTAAGCTTTAACCTGGGACAATTGTAGGGCTCACCTCATTTATTTCCCATCTCTCAGGGATCACTGAATGTCATTGGTGACATCCAATATCCTGAACACCATTGTTTCAAATACGTTGTCTGCTTTTTAGGTTTTTGTTTTGTTTTGTTTGTTGTTGTTTTCAGGAAGAAGGTGAATCTAGTCCCTGTTACTTTACCTGTTCAGAAGTGGAAGTCCTTGTTGCCCAGGCCTGGGATGAATAACCTTTTGAGTGAGGGGTATTTTTGCTTCATCTGCTACTCAGAGGAGCTCATGCAGGAAGCTAGGTTCCAAACCAGCAGGAACTTTCCTTATAACCCAGGTCTGGTACCAAAGTAAAACCTCTCTCTCCCTATTCTCACACTGTAGTTTCCTACAAACATGGTGTGACTGTGTGGCTTCTACCCCTTCTCTTTCCTTCCTCAGGACTAAACCAGATCCAGGGACACTCTGGCTCCTGGCCTGGCCACCCAGTTTTACTCTTACAAGTACAGGAGTTAGGGTTTGAACTTAAACTTTTGGACAATGGTACTTTGCAAACTCAGTTCTGCAGCCCCTACATTCTCTCTTCTTCCTTCCCTTGCTCCTGATCTATTTCTACATCTTTTGAGAGTCTTTCCATCTATTTAGACTTTTGACTTTCTTATAGTTTTAACAAAGACAGAGTTTGACTTTCTGCTTCTTGTTCTTCTTGTTTCTCTGGGGGGATTTCCAGAAGAACAGGAAACATCCGCTTGAGGCGATCATCTTCACACTGGAAGTCAGGGGCCATGCAGTTGCTGTGGTTGTTTTGAGTGTATAGTTTGCATCTCTACTAAGCCAGACACAGTCTCTGATCCCTAATAGGTAGCCAAGAAATGTTTGAAGAATGACTATCAAATAGATACCGCGTTCCTCCGCATAACTTGGCTCTGCATATTGAGGTAGACTGTTGCTTCCTCTCTACCTGAGATGTCCCAGAATGCATGGGCATCTTTCCCCCGTTGAGTCTGGGGATTCCTAGAGCATGGAAAGAGCTGGTGGAAGGCTAAGCACATGACGCGGTCTGAAACCTGTGTCCCAAGAGCGTGGGCTTTCGTGTTGGACAAACCTGAGTTTGAAGCTCAACTATAATATTTACTACTTGCTGGATCTTGTATTCATCAGGGTTCACCAGAGAAACAGAAACAATAGGATGGAGATGATAGATAGATAGATAGATAGATAGATAGATAGATAGATAGAGAGGTACTATCTATCTATCTATCTATCTATCTATCTATCATCTATCTATCTACCTACCTACCTACCTACCTATCTGGAGATATATTTTAAGGAATTAGCTCATGCTAATTGTGGGTGTTGGCAAGTCCAAAATCTTCAAGGCAGGTCAGTAGGCTTGAAATTACTGCAAAAATTGATGTTGCAGTCTTGGGACTGAAGGCAATCTGGAGGTACAATCTTTCTTCCTGTTGGATGTGGAGGGGGGCAAAGTGGGGGGCACAGACTTCTGTCTTTTCTCTTAGGCCTTCAACTGATTGGATGAGGTCCAACCCCATTATGGACAGTAATCAGCTTTACTCAAAGACTACTGATTTAATCACATCTTTAAAAAATACCTTCACAGCAACATCTAGACTGGTGTCTGACCAAACAACTGGGCATGATAGCCTAGCCAAGTTGGTACATAAAATTAACCATCACAGACCTTGAGTAATTTATTCAATCTCACTGATCCTCAATTTTCTTATCTTTAAAATGGAGCTATTAGTATATATTACTCACAGGACTGTTGTGAAAATCAAATTGGGATAAGTATGTAAATCACCTAACATAACATCGGACAAATCATAAGATCTTACTAAATGAAAGCTATTCTTGTCTTGTCTAGAAGATATGCCTGATATGGTCTCCTGGAATCCAGTCCACTCTCTTCCATGTTCCCTCACCTTCTGTCTGTATTTAAGGGCTAGAAGTTTCAAAACCTATAGTACTTTACTAGACTCCTTTGCAGCTAGAG